GGGGGGGGGGGGAAACGAAAAAAAAAAATTTACATCTGAAACCACCGCCGTCATTGCAACGTCTCATAAGCCAAATAACATCTAGAAAAAACCGACGTGTCTCCGAAAGGACGATCCTAGAACTGGGTTCACAAACGTCGATAAGATATCGGCTCGTTCAAATTTCCAAGCGGTTTCTCCGTGCTTCCGTGTCGGTGACACGTTTTATCTGAACGCTAAAAAGTTTTTCTTCGATGACGTCACACGCGCGTTGTGCGTAAGCTAAACACTGGGATCTCCACTGAGGCTCATGTACAGTACGAAACGTTATTGCCGATAACTGACTGCATCCGGTGGGGAGCTCGTCACTGGAGATGACCCCCGCGAGTATTTCACACGGATTCTGCACCGTTACGAGATTCTTTTGATATGTTGAGATGAAGTCCACTCGTCCGAGTGAATGAGATGCGCCAACATCCTCTGGTGCAAAAGACGTTCCAAACGCGATGAAGAGCGAAAGGAGGAGAGAGTGCGACAGACGAGAGAGGAGAGCCGGAAGAGAAAGTTGAAGGAAGGACGACGAAGACGGGGAGGAAGAGTCGAAGGTGGAGGAAGAGTCGAAGGTGGAGGAAGAGTCGAAGGTGGAGGGGGAGTCCTTCGCTATCTCGGCAGAGTGATCTCGATCTCGGCGCCGGCCTTGGCAGGATCGCCGTAGTCGAGCGGGGGTGTTGGGGGGATGACCACCTTCCCGTCGCCTTCCCCCTGGTCGTCGTGAAGCCATAGGGTCACCAACTGAGCTCCGGACGACTGGAATGTTGCGAAGACCGCCCTCCCGTCCCCTGAGATCTTGCAGTCGCTGATCACTCCGTCCGGGGTGAAGCACGCCATCATGTTCCCTGCGCGATCGCATCGACCGTGCGTGAGCGCCACGAGGGGCAAAACGTGCACGAGATGGAGCCTTTCCTCACCTGTGCCGAGGTTCCAGAGTCGGATCGTCGGGTCTTTCCCCCTGGAGTGATAGCTGAGGCAAATCTCTCCCTCGTTGTCGAGACAGAGCACGTCGACCTCGGCTCGGTGACCTCTCAGGGTCCATTTCAGGTTCCCTGGATGAAACTCGTGAAATCATTCGGTGCTCTAGCACTTCCTTCCCCGGCTAGCAATGCCTTATCGGGGAGGAAACGCCATTAAATGGCAACTACTCCTTCCCATCCCCCTTCCCTTCGGGAAAGGTCAACTAACAAAGACTTCTTCCTGGATCCACTGACCACTTCCAAAAATACCTATTTTTATATTTCTTATCAACCGATTTGACAGGAATATTCCCCCCCTCCCCCATAATTTCGATTAGAGCCTGGTTCTACGAGTAGGAAATACTACTACCGAGAGGAACAGCATATCACATGACACACCCACGTTGCGAGCGCATATCGCTTTCACCTCCCGTTCTCTCTCACCTGTGATGAGATCCCAAACGAGGATGCGGGAGTCTTCGAGCCCACACAGGACGAGATTCCCCTGATCTCTCGACGGGCTGGAAGGAACTGCCCCCTTTGCGCCTCCTCCCGCGACCGATGGACTGGAGATGGCCAGGGAATGGAAACTTTGACCCGGTTTCATGCGCTTGAAGGGCGTGCCGTTCTGAAGGTCGTACACGACGATGAAAACGGGATCGTTCCCGTCCACCTCCTGGAGAAAAAGACAGGGAACATGAGAAAAAAAAAAGCCTTTCGGTTTCATATCGATCGGAGTCGTCCCCAAGGCTCTCACCCTGCACGCGCAGGCAACGTAATGCCCCTCCTTGGTGATCCCCGTGAGATGAGTGAGGAACTCGTGATGGGGGATCCGGAGGTCGAAGATCAGTTTCCTTTTCTCCAGATCCCAGACGAGGAGAGGGAAGGGCTTCTGAGTCTCGTCCCCGCAGACGCAGAGCCTCCCGTTGTCGGAGACGATGAGGGAGTTGAGGAACCGGTCCTCGCCGACCTTGAACGTGGACACCACGTCCCCCGTGTTCAGGTGGATCAGGTTCACGTACATGCGGTTCCGGGCCAAGGCCACGATGTGGTTCGAGTCCTGCAGCGCGTACAGCGGCAGCTTCTGATTCATCATCCCCTTCAGCTTGTTCTCGATCTTCCCCTCGTTGAGGTCCACGACGAACAGCTCCCTCCCGCTGAGGAGCACCCCCCTGAAGGCATCCACCATCTTCAGCATCTTCGGCTCGGGGACGCCCACGAGCGTGCGCACGGGGACGGCCCGGTGGGCATCCCAGACCACCAGCTTCTTCTCGGACGGCACGAGGGTCACCATGTGGCCTGCATTCCCGGGAATGGGCACGATCGTCGAGCTCCCCCCGTGTTTCGAGTCCAGGGATGGCTCCTGGAAGGGTCCGAGGAGGCACGGGAGGGTCGGCACGAGGTTCGTCACTGGGATTTCGCGTACTTTTGCCCACATCCTTTCGACGGCCGGATATTTCCCTCCTTTTTCTTTTTCC